TGGCCGTGAGTGTGCCACTGCACTCCAGCCTGGGCAACAGAGTGAGACTCTGACTCAAAAAAAATAAAAAATAAAAAAAATACTTCTCTTCCTGATCCCAGCACGGCAGGCCAAACCCCTCAAGGAAGGTCCCCAGATGCAAGGATGCTGAGAGCAGAAAAGTAGGAATCCTGGAACGGCCTCTGTCTGCTAATAGTGTTTCCTTTTTGGCTGACCCCAGCCTTTTGACACGGGTCTTTAAGACAGCCTGCATAAGTTGCATGGCTCTGAGGCCCTGGGAGAAAGATGGCTCCCACATTTTAGGGCTCTTAGGGTGCAATCTGTCTGATCTTTTAAAATGTGACCTTTAGGCTGGGTGTGGTGGCTCAGCCTGTAATCCCAACACTTTGGGAGGTCGAGGTGAGAGGATTGCCTGAACCCAGGGGTTCGAGATCAGCCTGGGTGGGCAACTTGGTGAGACCTCGCCTCTACAATAAATCACAAAAATTAGCCGGGCGTGGTAGCGTGCACCTGTAGTTCCATCTATGTGGAAGGATTGCCTGAGCCCAGCAAATCGCTGCTGCGGTGGCTGTGAGCGTGCCGCTGCACTCCAGTCTGGATTCTAACTCAAAAAGTAAAATAAAGTGTGGCCTTTAACCACCTGGCTGTACAGCTGTGAGCATTATCAGTTGGATTTCATAAGTGAGTGGGGTTGCAGGAAGCTCCTTGGCATAGCTTGTCCCAAGCTGGCACTAAGGTAGGCTGTGGGATGCTGTGACATGGGCTGGTGAGGATTTTCGAGGAGGAACTTCTGGGGAAGCAGTTTCTGGCTCATGTTTTGGCATGTTGGTGGTTGGTAGCAGAAGTGAGAGACCCATGTCCTGCTCCAGGCCTGCGAGACTCATATGCAAGGAACGACCCGTGGGAGGTAGCCTGCAACCAAGCTTAATTTTGCACTCTAAGTGTTCACGCATGGGGTGTGTTTATAAGAATGGAAGCTTTCAAGAACAGTAGCATTGCAGTTGGGTTTTTGTGGCGGGGGAGCACAAAGGAGACTGCTGGGTGAAGCATTTAAAAGATGTAGCCATGAAGTTGGCTAGTCTAGAATTAAGAGAATTTGCCAGGGAGAACTGTTTTAAAATGGAAGCACGAGGCCAGGCGCGGTAGCTTGTACCTGAAATCCCAGCCCTTTGGGGGTGCCGGGACGGGAGGATTGCTTCAGTCCAGGAGTTTGAGACCAGCCTGGGTAACATAGCAAGACCTCATCTTTACAAAAAATAATTTTTAAAAAGCCAGGTATGGTGATGTGCACCTGTAGTCCCGGGGGGCTAAGGTGGAGGGATAGTCCGAGCCCCGGAGGTTGAAGCTGTGATGAGCCCTAATCAAGACACTACACTCCAGCCTGGGTGTCAGAATGAGACCCTGATTTAAAGATGGAAACACTGAGGGGGCCTTACAGCCATCTTCTTCAATCTCTTGTTTTGCATGAAGCCAACCCCTAGCAGTAAAGGACTTTGAGGCTGATGGCGCAACGTAAGCTGTTGTGGTGCGTGGGTTCTGGGAAGCCTTGAAAGTTCTGCAGTGGAGGACTTAGGAGCCAGGGTGCCTCAGGAGGGACACAGGACATGATGTGAGGGGTTTGTGGGAAGAATTTAGTCTAGGGGCATGAGCCCTGGGTTAAGCGTGTGGTAGCGGCCAGAAGCCCAGGTTGTCATCCTTCGCATGGAAGAAATAAGCGCACGCTCCGTTGATGGCGTCTGAGTCCCCTGGCTGCCTGCGCTCTTGTCCCCTTCCTGTCCCCATCTGCGGTACCAGCACCTGTCTGTGTTAATGCAGGGTAAGGACCATGTACTACCCTTCCCAGGGCCTTTTGCATTTTATTGATATATTTTCTTGAGTCAAAGTCTCTGTCGTCCAGGCTGAATGCAGGGGCGTGATCACAGCTCACCGCTACCTCCATGTCCTGGGCCCAGGGGATCCTTCCTCCTCAGCCTCACATGTGGGACTGCAGGTGTGTGCCACCAAGCCTGGCTTTTTTTTTTTTTTTTGTAGAGAAGAAGTCTTGCTATGTTACCTAGGTTGGTCTTGAACTCCTGGGCTCAAGCCCTCCTTCTACCTCAGCTCCCACAGTGCTGGGGTTACAGGCTTGAGCCATTGCACCTGGCCCTATTTGCATTTTAACTGGGATACAACTTCAAGAGAAAGTAATGCATCTAAAAGTAGTTTCAGGCTACAGGGACTTCAAATTTCAAGGCCAATAAAGGATTCTTCCTTATGTCCCTAAAAGCAGGGTGTGTTAGGGGAAGAGATGGGAAGGGGGAACCTAGGGTGTAAGGAGAGAAAGCGTGTGTGTCTAGTATTTATACGTGGGGGGCCTAAAAAATTCAGAATTGTCTTTTGGAGGGCAGACCCCTGGTAGTACAGTTGGATCTTGTTCCTCCAGATCAAACAGTCAACCAAATTTTTTATCTGGAAGTTGTGAGAAGGTTGCATCACAATTTGCGGAACAAACATTCCAATTTGTGGCAAACAGGTGGCTGATTCTTCCATCATGACAACACACCTGCCTACACCACGCTGAGTATCCAGTAGTTTTCACCAAAAAGGGCATGAGCCTTGTGTCTCACCCTCCCTATTACCTGATCTCGCCTGGAGTGCCTTTTATTGTTTGCCTAGATGAAAAAAGTCCTCAAAGGGAAATGTTTTGCTGATGTGGAAAAGTTGAAACAAAAAATGGCAGAGCACTTAAAAGGCATCAAAATAGATGAGTTCAAAAACTGTTTTGAGCAGTGGGAAAAGTGTCTCGATAGGTGTACTGCCTCAAATGGAGAGTGCTTTGAAGGTGACAGAAGTTTGTGTAAGAATCGATACACATTTTTTTTTTTTACAAATAAATTCTAATTTTGGAGGGCCCCCCTTGCAGTAGGCACTCATATTTGCTAATGAGTGAAACTTTTTAGTGAATGAATGAATGAATGAATAAAGTTCAAGTGTGAGAGGTTATTACAGAGGAAATAGAAAGAACAGGGGAAATACATATTTTAAAGGTGGAACGATCAATGTTAAGTTTTCTACTTTTTTAAAATTTAAAAATTATAACTTTTCATAGGGGGATTTTAGAGGGGGAGTTGGGCCGGGCTCAGTGGCTCAGCCTGTAATCCCGCGCCTTTGGGAGGCTGAGGTGAGTGGATTGCCTGAGCCCGCGGGTTTGAGACCCGCCTGGGCAGCAAGACCTCATCTCTACAATAAATCAAAAAATCAGCCGGGCGTAGTAGCGCGCGCCTGTAATTCCGGCTACTCGGAAGGCTGAGGCGGAAGGATCGCCGGGGCCCAGCAGGTCGAGGCTGCGGTGGCCGGGAGCGGCCACTGCACTCCAGTCTGGGCGACAGAGTGAGACTCCAACTCAAAAAAATAAATAAATAAAAATAAAGGGGGAGTTGGTGACTGTGTGGTCCCAAGACGTGAGGGGCAAAGAGCCTTTAAAAAGGAATTATAGTGACAGCACTTGGCTGCTCAGGAAAATATCCCTGACGGAAACAGGAAGCTGGAGAGTCCTGTGTTTGATTGGAAGAACATACAACAGTGAACGTTGAACACACACTTGATGAAACCCTTCACTTAACCTGCGTCTACAGGTGACTCAGGTGTGTCGCTGTCCTGCTGTCTGCATCTCCTCCCTGATGTCTTCTGCTCAACGGTTTCTTCCATTTTACTGTGCCGGGGGATGTAGGAGGAAAAGTGGTGCTCAGTGTGAACTGTGTACTCAGAGGCCGTGCGCAGTGGCTCACGCCTGTAACCCCAGCACTTTGGAGGCCGAGGGAGGAGGATCCCTTGAGTCTGGGAGTTCAAGACACGCCTGGGCAACATAGTGGGACCTTGTTTCTACAAAAATACAAAAATCAGCCAGGCGTGATGGTGGTGGGTTCCTGTAGTTCCAGCTGGTCTGGAGGCTGATGGAGGAGTTATCATGGCCCAGGAGCTGGAGGTTGTGGTGAGCTGTGATCGTGTCACAGTACTCTGGCTGGGGTGACAGAGTAAGACTCTGACTCAAAAAAAATAACAAAAAACAGCAGCTGACCAAAGAGACTGAGAATGAGTAATTACTTTAAGCTACTGGGGTCTGGAGTGGTTTGTTACACAGCATTATTGTAGCAATAGCTGACTGATAATAGTCAAGCTCATACAAAGTCTATACATAACAATCAGATCACACACTGGCACTCATGAAAAACTCTCACAGACGCGTAGGCACACAGAATCTGTCACATAAACTCAAACTTATGGGCCACTAAGCTCCTTCTCCCCACACCCACCCCCGCAACACACACAGATACACAAAATCTGTCTCATAAACAAAACAAAAAAACAAAAAAGAAAAAAGTGGTTTGCTCAGATTTCCTTAAAAAAGGACCCAAAGAATTCTTATCCTTCCTTATTCCTCTTTTACGCCCACTTAAATTTGTCATTCCAGAATTTTCTTAAGAAAACCCTTTTGCTTTAAAAATAGATATACATTGGCCATTGTTTGGAAGGTCGTGCCTCTCTGTTGCCAGGGCTGTGCTGTGTTCTGCTCTGCTGAGGTAACAGACCGACTTGCCTCCCAAAGGCATTCTTCCTTGACAGACTGGTTTGTTCTGTGATCTGTGTAAACACCCCTGCCTGCTGACCAGTAGTCTGTATTTATGAGGCCCTTAGAAAACACGGCAAGCTGCGGAGTAACCATGAATAGCAAACTTAATTTGGTTTAATGTGTTTTGGCTTGCTTGACCTCACCAGAATAAAAATGTGCCTGCTCACATTATTGTATTGGGACTTAGGGGAAAAAAAAATTCTAGACATTTATCTCATGGGGAGAATCTTGGGGCCGTTTCAGCAAAGGTTTAAGTCCACGTTTAATGTCAGATAGACTTCAGAAATGTTTAACATAGAATTCTAATCACAAATTAGGTTATTGTAAATTCTGAATTTTAAGACTGAATTACTATTTTTTTTTCTTTTGCTCCTTTTTTTTTTTTTTCTAGACAATTGGCTGGCAACGACCTTTCTTTTATCCACCCAAAGGCCTTGTCTGGGTTGAAAGAACTCAAAGTTCTGTAAGTAATGCAATTTTAGAGTTTCACAGCTGGCTGTGTGTTTTCTTTCTGCATAGTCAACATGCCTGGAACTAGGTTAAGCACAGTTTCTTTTAGTTCAGGATTAAAAGATTTAAGGAGTGGCCAGTGGGTAGTGTGGGAGGCTAGAAGTTGATTTAGACAATCATGCGCCTAGATAACAAAAGTTAAAACTCTAAATAATAGGTATTCTGACCTCCAGTAGATTATAGTTGAATGGTAGGCATTTTGGGTGACTGATGCTTTGACTCATAACCATATTTAAGCTTTCCTGGTAGGGTTTTGCTTCTACTTATTTTATAGCTATGAGAACTTTGAATTCGCTGACCCTAAAGGGAAGGAAAAAAAAAAAGACTTACAGGAGCTCTAAATGTTACAATTATTTTAGAGCTGAAGGCAGTTGAGATGCCAGTGAGGGATCAGGAGACCAATTCCTGGCAGTGGTCAGGAGCTTGGGTGTGGCAGTTTAGGGAACAGGTGAGCTGACTGCCCCTGCTTCTGCCACTGCCTCCCCAGGGAACCTCAGTAGGTCACCAGACCTCTCTGGTTCAGTGAGCTCGGTCGACTTATTACTTCTTCCATTCTGTGGTTATGGATCCTGTCAGGCAGTCGTTTTATTAATGTGAGAGGAAAGGCAAAAATCAAAAGGATCTCATTTGCAGTGTAGATCTGTGCCTCTAGTCTGCAGACCCTAACTGTCCGCTGACTAAAACCCTATTGCTGTTCTGGCCCTGCATGCACTGAGGAACGTGACTTCTTTTCCCTAAAGTCTGCCATCTTCTTGGGAAAGTTGACTTACCTGAGCCCGTTTCAGGACTTGCCCAATTGGAAGAGGCATTAGGGGTTCCAAATGAGTTTGCTTTTTCTACCTCCTAGTTAACTTACACGTCCCAATTCACATTAACTAACAGTACCAGCATGAATATGAACCTGGATGCCTTCGTTCCCAGGCATGAAATCATCCCTGGAAATGTGGATTTTACCCAGCAGGTCTGTGTTGGGGGAAGGCTTAGGATAGGTTTCATTTCCAGCTCTGTAATAAATGTCTCGATTTTTTTGCAATTCTCTCATCATGGGTATTTTTCACCTCCGACACACCCTTTTTTGGGGAAAAAAGAAAATGGCTCTGAAGTTTTCTAAGAAGAAAGTGGTAACAACTGCTTGTTATTCACTAACCAAACATTTCCTTCCAGGACCCTCCAGAACAATCAGCTGAAAACAGTTCCCAGCGAAGCCATTCGAGGACTGAGTGCTTTGCAGTCTTTGTAAGTAACTCTCTGGTTCTCTGCATTCTTGAATCTGAGGAGGTCACTCTGCCTGTTCAATGTGTCAAGTGCTGGAATCCCAGGAAAAGGGGACATGCACCCTTTGATCTGAGTAGAGTGAGACTGGCCAGTTGCTGTTCTCTCTGCTTCCTCTCCTATCCTGGAGGCCAGGAGAAAGCTACTGTGTAGTCCCTGCCTGGTGTACCTCCATGAGCTTGTACACAGTGGGTGACTGGCTGCTCCTGAAAGCCAGAGTTTTGTGTATACAGAAGTTCTAGGCTAGGCTCTTGTGCCCGACTGTCGAGAAGTGATCACAAAGAAGTTTCTGTTTCAGATGGTGATGGTAATTGAACAATTATTATAGTTTCTCAATTTGGGAGAAGGAATGGCTAAAAAAAAAAAAAAAAAAAAAAGGCACAGCATTTTTCAAAACAAGAAACTCTGTTAGCTTCTGTTAGAGTAGTGAATACAGATTTGCATTGCTTCCCTTCATGCCCTGAATACTCAATACAGGGGGGCCAGGGTGCAGTTTCTCCAAGTTGGCTCTTTGACCACACTTCGCAACACTGTCGCTCGGGGGAGATTGCTAGGCCATATCTTAGGAGTAACGCTGTTTTCTCTTTAAAGGTAGAATCCAGAAAGCCATATTTTAAAAATCTCCCTAGAACCACTCTGAATAGAACATTGTAGTAGTTATCACACTTATGTGTGCTGGGTTATAAAACTGCATTTTAACCACATCACATATTTGTATACTAATGTGCCACTTGGATTTTTTTTTATTGTACTTTGAGATAACTGCAAATGCGAGCTTTTTTAGGAGGTGCATGTAAGTTAGAAAATGCAAGGGGAAAATGATTGAGCTTCTTGTCCCTTCAGTTTGCTATTGTAAAACCATTTTAAAGTATACCAAAAAGGCAGCACTGGAAATTGCAAATTGTAGATTGCTGTTTGATTTTAGATTAGATATTCTAGTAGCCAGTGGGAAATGAATGTGAAAATAAAAATATGTACCACTACTAAAATATCTGCTGTAAAAGTTAAACTTTAACATATAGCCAGAGTGTTGGCTGTTTAACTCCTAGTTGACATACAAATTTAATGTAAGATGGTCTGTGATAGGTAGCTCACTTCACTACAGTGTTAAATTATGGAATTTAAGGATTGTTTCCACCACAGCTAATTGGATAGATTCTGAGTAGACTCTTAAAATGAGTTCACTGGGATGAGTTCCCTTACAGAAATGTTATTTTGGCGACTCTACACGCTCTCACCTGGGACAGATATACACGAGGAGTCATCTGACCTCTGCTGGTTCTGAATTCATTAGGCATTTTAAATCGATTTTACTTTCTTTTACTTCTTCAGAACTCAATTAACTTCAGGACCTCCATACTAAGTTGTTATTTTCCAAGACTTAAAAATCATAATACTCAATTATTATGTCTAGTTTGAAGGCTAAAAGAGAGAAGACTAAACTCTCATTTTCAACTTCAGAACAAAAAAAAATAACACCAAGAAAACATACAAATAGATTCTTTCTAACTTGTGGTCTGTAAGTACCTTGAAATGCATGTTATATTTATTGGTAATATGAATGATTTAAAGTGGTGTTTTTTCACAGAAATTGTAAGTTTCCCTCTTTTAATGTTTGTTTGTTTGTTTGTTTGAAGTCAGAGTCTCACTCTGTCGCCTAGGCTGGAGTGCAGTGGCATGCTCATGGCCACCCCACCGTCGACCTGCTGGTCTCAGGTGATCCTTCTGCCTCAGCCTTCCAAGTAGCCAGATCTACAGGCACTCGCTACCATGCCTGGCTAATTTTTTGACATACTGTAGAGGCGAGGTCTCACTAAGTTGCTCAGGCTGGTACCAAACCTCTGGGCTCAGGCCTTGGCCTCCCAAAGTGCTCGGAGTACAGGCTTGAGCAGCCGTGCTCAGCCTTTAAAAAGCATATGGCACTTATCATCTGTGGATAGTTGAAATTATCTCCAAAATTGGTTGGGGTGAGTAACGAGTAAAGGCAAAACATATTTATTTTTTCTTTTTTAAAGGCATTGGGATATTTTTCTGTGTATTAGAAACACAGGAGCTGCTGTGTGTCAGGCCTGTGTTATTTAAGAAGGAAATGTTCATGGGTTTGTTAGCACAGTGGGTGCATTGGTGAAGTTAGATACAATTGAAATTCTGTTGTGGTGTAAAACAGTCTTATCAGCACTTGAGTTTGTTTGAAAATCTGATCTTCAGACCTGAATTACATGAAAGATTTCCTTGTGGTTTTTTGAATAGTGCTTAAAAGGAGCAAAGTTCATTAGGGATTGAAATTGCTGAGAAGTGGTTTGATGCAAGTGTGTGAATTGTTGCTACTAATAAAAAGGCATTATAATGACTCCCGCGAAGCCATGAACATGACTGAAGCATTAGCTGAGCCAGGATATTAAAATGACATGTCAGGCTGAGTGTGGTGGCTCATGCCTGTAATCCCAGCACTTTGGGAAGCTGAGGCAGGAGGAGCTCCAGACCAGTCTAGGAAGCATAATTAGACCTTGTTGCTACAAAATACCAAAAAATTAGCCAGGTGTGCTGGTATGTGCCTGTAGCTGGGGTGCGAGGATCACTGGAGCCCAGAGTGAGACCCCTAATTCAAATAAATAAACAAAGAAAAGAAATAAATTGACATGTCAGAATTAACTCCACTAGAACATTTTTCTTACGTCAGGTCACATTTTTGTTGAACATTAAAGGACCTGAAAGATTAAATTTGCTAGATCTTCTTCAGTTTTAAAATATGTTGATAACTGGAATATTTACATTCCTGGTAAGTTAGAATAGAGTGAAAAAGAGCTTTTGATTACACAGAATAGGTGTTTATTGATACCAGAGACTTTCAGCAGTAAATGCCTGTATGTAGCATTATTTTGTAACTGTAGTTTCAGTTAGACAAGAGATTTTAAAAATATGTGAGTCTTGGTCAGGTGTGATAATAGACTTTTGAGACTAGAGAATAGAAGCTTGCTTTCAAGATGACAGCAAGGGAATTTAGTTAATACATTATAAACTTCTTAACAATAAAACTGCACTTAAATAAAGTTATAGTTTTATCTCTTGCCTGTATAGAGTTTAAACCATAGAATACCTTGAAGATGCCCCACATGGTCTTTCCAGTTTGTGAGTTATCTGATGCCTTTTAGCATTGACTGAAAGAATGAGTTATAGAATTTTCTTTCTTTCTTTTTTTTTTTTTTTTGAGTTGGAGTCTCACTCTGTCGCCCAGGCTGGAGTGCAGTGGCATGCTCCCTGCCACCGCAGTCTCAACCTGCTGAGCTCATGCAATCCTTCCGCCTCAGCCTTCCAAGTAGTCGGAACTACCGGCATGCGCCACCACACCCAGCTAATTTTTTGATTTATTGTAGAGATGAGGTTTAATCAAGTTGTCCAGTTTGGTCTCGAACACCCGGGCTCAGGTAATCCTCTTGCCTTGGCTTCCCAAAGTGCACACGCCTGGGATTACAGGCGTGAGCCCCCGTGCCGTAGTTATAGAATTTTCTTGATCTGTTAGTTGGGGTGAATATTCATAGCATAGGTCATGGGCCCAAAGCCACAGTTCTCAGACGGTTTCTCTGTAGAGCATTTATCTGGGTGTAAGCACAAAATCTTCATGGGTGTTTTCACCACATCCACATGTGAACCAAAGGATAAGGATTAATCATTTGAGTCACCCCAAATCCTTTATCTCACTTAACTTCTTATTTAAGGGTTCAATTTTTTCATAGTTCTTCTTTTTAATCCTTATGTAAATGTGACTTTTACAATCTTGGGGAATTTTTAGTACAGAGGAAACTGTGTGCCATTACTGTTGTCTTATTATTTTGTATAGAAGATAATCTTATTACTACTTTAGCTCAAAACTCACCTGGCTATCTATAAGTTAAGGCTGTCCCTTTTCCTGGATGGCACAGAATTCACAGGAGTGTGACAGTTGTATGTAGTACTACCGAATTTATATTAAAAAGGTACAACTTCCCTTATGGTAGTATTTTACAGTTTACTGTAATGTAACACTTTTATAGGGAGGACTTAATTTCAGTGGGGGTGTATTTAGGGGAGACACTACACAGTATTTTATTGAATATGAACACACACTGTCCCCAATATGCTAAAATAAAGCAGTTTAAACGTGTAAACTGCTGCAACACTGAGGAATTTCAGTTTGTGATTAAAATATGATGCAACCCCTATCTGGACCCTGTTTGCATTCCAGCCAGGTCCCCCTGGGCCCACCTCCCCTTCCTCCTGTGTTCTGATCATACCAACCTTCTGGGAGGTGCTGGATCAGAACCTCCCAGTTTCTGCTACTGGGTCTCTGCCCTGGCTCTTTGCCTAAAACACTCCTTGTCCTGTTTCTGCTTCAAATCAGTCTTACTCATATTCTTTAGGTCTCAGTCTAAATATCACCTTCTTATTTGGGGATATAGAGAAGAATATGATGAAGTTAAGCAGCTGGAGTAGAGAAGAGTATTGGGTTTTCAAGATCACCCAAAGACAGATGTTGCTTGATCTGCTGGCTCAGGGCCAAATGTGTAATTTACTTCTCCAAAGTCACTAATCTTTAAAAGTGTGATTCTGGGCAGGGCACGGTGGCTCACGCCTATAATCCCAGCACTTTGGGAGGCCATGATGAGAGGATTGCCTGACTCTACTGGTTTGAGACCAGCCTGGGCAACTTGGCGAGACCTCATCTCTACAATAAATCAAAAAATTAGCCGGGCGTGATGGCGTGTGGCTATAGTTCCGGCTACTTGGAAGGCTGAGGTGGAAGGATCGCCCGAGCCTAGCAGGTCGAGGCTGCAGTGGCCATGAGCATGCCACTGCACTCCAGTCTGGGCAACAGAGTGAGACTCCGACTCAAAAAACAAGTGTGATTCTGGAAAATTCAGGCCACTAGCCTAAAAGCCAACTGACAGTGAAGTGTTAATTTCTTATTACATCATATGCTAAACTGTATGGTTATACAGTTAGGGTCTTTTTCTTCCTAAGAATTTGAGGTGTGTGTGTGTGTGTGTGTGTACACATTCCTCCCTTCTCATTAGAGCAAGTCTCCTAACCAGTTCTGTAGCCAGTATTTTGCCAGTCTGTAACACAGAAGGTGCCTGTCTCTTCTCAGGGAAAGTTCTAGAAAGCCTAAGGAATAAACCAATCTAAAAAGGTATGCTTCTTGGCAGATTCTTAAGGCAGCTGCTTGGTGTCCTGAGCTTGCTCTCAAGTGTTCTTTCAACCATCTTGGCTCTATCAAAGGCACGCTTCCATTAGGGGGAATGCCTCCAGAAGGCTTTAACCCCTGTTGCTCTAGGAAGGAGAAGGCATAGGACTGAGAGCCGTGAATTGGGTGCAGGGGCCCAGAACTTCCTGGAGGGAAAGGGAGAGTGGTGGCAGTCGCTGAACCTGGAGCATGATAAGGGAACAGGAGGCATAGAAGCCGCTCTGAAACGCTGAATTTCCTGAACTTGGAAGTTGCCAGGCTCTTACTTTAAAACACACACACACACACAAATATAAACAAAACCTGCTGTCATTTTGAATTTTTACCAGTTGTTGGTGTTCCCTAATCTTCACAAAGAGGCCCAAAGCTGTGAGGCATGACTGTCAGTGATGAACGGGTATCCACAGGGATTTGGGAAGAAAGTTGTGAATTGCCTGGCAAATATTGTCCCTCCTCCTATTAATGCCAGGTTGTGTTTGTGTTGAAAAGCCATTATTCCAACAGTTGCATCTGGTTGTGCCAAAATAATACTTAGGACTGAATTTCCAGATTTTCACATGGCTACTTAATTTTAAGTATGAGTAATCCTAAGGTGTTCCTAATTTCAAAACTTTTGGAAAAATTGAAAAAGCTTTAAAGCCACAATAACATTGATTGGAGGGAATACTTCATTTTTCCTACAGACAATTTGACCTTTTCCTAATAACTGTTAATTCTGGCAAACTAATTTTTCAAAAGTACTTACTATTAAGATAAGGGGAGAAAGTTGCTTTGCCAATACATGACACTTATATATTTAACTTGCCTAGTGGCAATAAGGATGATTGGCAATCTATTGAAATGGTTAGTTGTTATTTTTTTTTAAAGTAAATATTTTCTAATTTTTCCCTTTGGTGAATCAGAGTAGCAACTAAATTTAATGTCAAATATTAGTTATAAGATAACATTGGAAGCCACATAGTTTATTCGATCAGCTTAGTTTTCTCCTTGTTTTTCTGTTTTTGGTTTTGTGGGGGGGGGTTGGTTTTTGTTTTGATTTTTATGAGTCAGAGTCTCACTCTGTCTCCCAGGCTAGAGTGCAGTGGCACACTCATGGCCACTGCAGCCTTGATCTGCTGGGCTCAGACAGTCCTTCCACCTCAGCCTTCCAAGTAGTTGGAACTACAGGCACGTTCTACCATGCCCGGCTAATTTTTTAAATTTATTGTAGAGGCACAGTCTCGCCAATTGTCCTAGACTGGCCTCGAACCCCTGGGCTCAGGGCATCCTCTCGCCTTGGCCTCCCAAAGTTGAGATTGCAGGCAAGAGCCACCATACCTGGCCTTGTTTTTCTGTCGTTTTGACAATTGTACTCTGAAACATAAAACTCCAAGTTCAGCTTTGTGGGGTGCTTTTTTAAAAAAACATTATCTTTCTACTATAAAGTTACTTCTTTATCGCCAAAAACAGTTGGCGGATTTAGATTTGGACGTACCCCCTTTGTGATGAAGAAAAAGGGAAAAAACAGACTTTCGTATACTGATTAGATTTCATGAGACCTTCTAGTAAAATGATGGATGGTCATTTTCCTAAGTCCTTTTTGTTTGGAAAGCTCTGAGAGCTGTGACTCGGAGTGCCTCATTTCACTAGAACTCATTACTGACCGTGGCTGCTTCTGTTTCCATCAGGCGTCTGGATGCTAACCATATTACCTCCGTCCCCGAGGACAGTTTCGAAGGGCTCGTTCAGCTGCGGCATTTGTGGCTGGATGACAATGGCCTGACGGAAGTGCCTGTGCAGCCCCTCAGCAATCTGCCCACGCTGCAGGCGCTGACCTTGGCTCTCAACAGAATCTCCAGCATCCCTGACTTTGCATTTACCAACCTTTCAAGCCTAGTGGTTCTGTAAGTGGCCACCTTTAATACCATATGTTTGTGTTGATGGGGGGGAGGGTGCAGAAACAGGGGCTTTTTTGTTTGTTTTGTTTTGGGGTTGGACTCACCCTCTGTCACCCAGGCTGGAGTACAGTGGCACAATCATACCTCACTGCAGCCTCAGCCTCCAGGGTTCAAGTGATCCTCCCTCATCAGCCTTCCAAATTGCAGGGACTAAAGGTGCACACCACCATACCTGGCTATTTTTTTTTTTCTAGAGACAAGGTCATCTCGCTTTGTTGACCAGGCTGGTCTTAAACGAACTCCCGGGCTCAAGCAATCCTCTTGCCTCAGCCTCCCAACGTGCTGGGATGACAGGTGTGAACCACACGCCCAACCAGAAACAGAAACTTTTGTTTTGATTTGAGTAACTATTAAATAATCTTGGATGTATATGAACATTTTTCCATTAGAAATCTTTTTCTTTCCTGTTGATATTCTCCCCTTCAAGTACTAACCAGGACTGACCCTGCTTAACTTCCGAGATCAGACGAGATCAGGCGCGTTCAGGGTGGCATGGCAGTAGAACCCATTGGTTTCCAATGTTCAGCAAGTATGCGGTGTGGAGTGAGAACTGACTACCCAATCCCATTTGGTTTTTGTAGTCAGGCATTGGGATATTTAACTATACCATTTTTTTTACACACCAATTTAGACATGGGAAACAATGATAAAAGTTGCTAATTGGGAGATGTAAAAGTCATTTTGATGCTTTTTTTTTTTTCCCATAGGCATCTTCATAACAATAAAATTAAAAGCCTGGGTCAACACTGTTTTGATGGATTAGACAACCTGGAGACCTTGTAAGTATATACCACATTGGGGTATTGACAGTCTAATTTTGTGCCTCATTGTAGAAAAAGAAAAGAAAAATGGTCTTCTGTTCAGCTCACTATTAATTTACTTTAATGTGTGACCAAATTCTTGGCATCAAATAACCCACTCATGAATACTAATCTAAGTTTACACTTAAACATGGTTCTTCAGTGTGAACTTCATGTTATTTCTCCCAAAAATACATGTTAAAAGCAGCTCATTCTACAAAGATTTATGTTTTTTCCAAAATGGTTTTTTTAAAAATGGATGACAGTTCTGAACTTGGAAATCTCTAAAATGAATTCTGGATAGTTCTTATGTTTGTTTTTTTCTGTGATCTCAATTGCCTTACATTTGAATTGGTATGCTGGGCTTGAAGACTATGTATGTTTTCACATGCTAAAATGTAACAAATTAAGATTTTATAATTTACTTCTGATACTCTTGTTGATGTTCCCACTAGCTAAAGTGTTCAGGACCTCTGACTTTTGCAAATGTCTGTTGCCTACTAGATAAGTAAAAGACACCATGCAGCTATGTATAATTGAGAGTGGAGTCTTTGTTTTTGTTGCTTTAGTTTATATTAGTTGCCTTTATTCAAAGATACATAAGTTTGCTATTGTGATGTAGTGAACGATTCAGAGAATGTCCCAATTAGATGAGTGAGTGAAGCTTAATCAGAATGCCTAGGTTTTGTCATGTTTTGTTCAGCCTGATTATCTATTATTAATAGATATTTGAAAGTTGAAGATATTGAAGATCATTCCAAATTCAGATCTCTGCTGTTAAGTGTGTAATATCTACTGTAACAAATAAAAGATTTAATGGGTCTCCTGATTCTAGACTGTGCACACTATTCCAGCTGTATTAAAATCACACCTCTTCTTCCCAGCTAAAAATTTTTATTTGCTATTTTTCCTTCTATGTAAAAAAGAAAAACAAAGTAGATCTCAGAGGAGCTGGGATTTTAATTTTGTTTTATTCTCATTCTGAAGTCAGTCATGCCCCACTGCTGAGGCAAGACCTCATCTCTACAAAAAATTAGCCAGGTGTGGTGGCGCACACCTATAGTCCCAGCTACTTAGGGGTTGAAGCAGAAGGATCACCTGAGCCCAAGAGGTGGAGGCTGCAGTGAGTTGTGGTCATGTCACTGCACTCCAGCCTAGGTGACAGAGTGAGACCTCGACTCAAAATTTTTTTTTAAATCATATGCCAGCATACCCTTTATGTTAAGGAAAATTAAACTTAACCATTCTCAGAACCAAGGCTTTTTTAGTACACATCACTGTGGCTTGTCTCGCTCCTCGTTAATGCAACATTTTCAGTGATTTGTAGCTTGCATGAGGACAGCTTCTTGTTCTTACCTCAGGTCATCATGCTGATACAGGGGCTGAGGTCATACCAGAATTTCAGGAAGCCACTCCCAACTGCCAACAAAAGCCTCAATTTCATGCTGTCATTTATAAATGGACATTGAGTAAATTTTGTTTTATGGTGAATTTTCTGAGAAATACATTCAGATGATTTGTTTATTTAGTGCATCAGTAATACATGATTCTGAGAATTCTTTGACCTTGTAAATTTGTTGACCCAAAAACATCACAGAAGAAGAATGCTTTTTTTCCTATTCAGTATTCTAAGAAAAGGTATGCATTCAATTAAACTCCTTTGAAGTTTTGAATGACAGTCTGGTTGATAAAGATTACAATTCAGAAGATGTGGTTTTTTAATAATATTTTTAAATATGTACCAAAATACCTTATGAATTATGACCTCTGCTCAATACAGTTATGTATCTTTCCCCCATTTTCTTTAGGGACTTGAATTATAATAACTTGGGGGAATTTCCTCAGGCCATTAAAGCCCTTCCTAGCCTAAAAGAGCTGTGAGTATTACTTTGTTCTTTTTATGCCTTAATATCCCTGGAACTCACCATCTAATGTTCCAACACTGAGATTTTAGAGTATCTTTGTTCCCTTGCATGAATCTATAATACACATAAATGCATGTAATCATACAAACTGGATTATGTTCGCTGGCACAGACAGCATAGATTACTGTATTGGTTTAGTGCTGGTAGAAGAAAAAGGTACGATGGTATGGTCTCTGCCTTTAAGGAGCTTGTAGTCTTAGTCTTGCTGGGGAGACCAACCATGTAAGACAGACAGCTGCTTCTAGGGGGAAATAAATGCTGAATGAATAGGATAAGTGAATCCAGAAAAAGGTCTCAGGAGGTGGGGTGTGGTATTTCACACCTGTAATTCCAGTACTTTGAGGGGCCAGGGTGGGAGGATCCCTTGACCCCAGGAGTTCAAGACCAGCCTGGGCAACACAGTGAGACCTTGTCTCTACACAAAATGAGCTGGGCATGGTGGTGCATGCCGGTAGTCTCAGCTACTTGTGGGGCTGAGGTGGAGGATCACTTGAGCTCAGGAGGTAAAGGCTGTGGTGAGCTGTGATCATGCCACTGTATTCCATCCAGTCTGCATGACAGAGTAAAACCCCAACTCAAAAAAGAAAAAAAATTAGGCTTCATGGAAGCTCAGGGAAAGGCTTGAAAGAATGGAAATATTTAAATGAATGAAAGGAATGAGGGAGCATTTGGATGGTGGGTTTGTCATGAGCAGAGACAGTGCATGTGTGTGGCATAATAGGGATTGTGTGTCATGAGTTAGTTGATAGTTACCATTCTAAGGTGCATTGCCAAAAAGACTAAATGCAGGCTGGGCTCGGTGGCTCAGCCTGTAATCCCAGCACTTTAGGAGGCTAAGGCAAGTGAATTGCCTGAGCCTGCGGGTTCAAGACCAGCCCTGGAAACTTACAATAAATCAAAAATTAGCCAGGTATGGTAGTGCACGCCTGTAACTACAGGTACTTGGAAGACCGAGGCAGAAGGATCACCGGAGTCCAGCAGGTCGATACTGGGGTAACTGTGAGTGTGCCGCTGCACTCCAGCCTGGACAAGGGAGTGAGACTCCAACTCAAAAAACAAAAAAAAAAACAAAAAAAAGAATGCAGGCTTTGGTAAGAGAGGTTTTGAGTATAGAACACCTTGCGAGTCTCACTGTCTCAAGTTCTTTGATGGTGAAGCAACCAATAGATGCGTCAAGGGACCAAACAGCACTGTGCTAAGCAGTGGATTTAAAAAGAATTCAGTGTATACCTGAAAAGGAAGAGATGGAAGTAAAAATTCAGAATTCCCACACCTTCGAGAATTTTTATATGGTCCTTATCAGTTGTATTTTATATAATGTTGGGTTTTAATTTATTTTGCAAGAGAATACTGAATTTCAAAATAGTTTTTTCTTATCTTTCCAGGGGATTTCATAGTAATTCTATTTCTGTTATCCCTGATGGGGCATTTGGTGGTAATCCACTCTTAAGAACTATGTAAGTATTTTTGAAAGATACCTTTAATATATAATCATGTAAAGCCATGTCTGTATGATGCCAAATATCTAGATAAAGATTGAAAATTCAGACTTTTAGATACGTGTACTCTGTGAACATAGATTTGATATCAGCGTGCTTGCGAACATATGAAAACTTTGCTTTTTTTGGATATTTTCACAGACATTTGTATGATAATCCTCTATCTTTTGTGGGGAACTCCGCATTTCACAATTTATCTGATCTGCATTCCTTGTAAGTACTGTGCAAATTGAGAAACAAACCTAAACGTTTATACAGTTGTTTTAATGGAAAACAAGAATTTATCATTGGACCTCCAGAAAACAAAATCTTTTTTTTCCCTTGGACAGAAGTCCAAAGGAGAACACTGGAGGTATATGATGATTCTTATTTATTTGAACACTTGGCCAAATTATTACTCTTTCAAGTACATTCGAGAGATGAATCTAGTTTTTCTTTTTAGTTGTGGGAGTACTGTCATTTTAAGCTGCTTGAAAGATAAAATTTTAACAAGAAATTGATACAGACTTTTTAAATCTGAAACTGGTTTCTCTCAATTCCCTGAAGAGTCCTTCGTGGTGCAAGCATGGTGCAGCGGTTCCCCAATCTTACTGGAACTGTCCATCTGGAGAGTCTGTAAGTGTGCCCCTCTGCAGTGGGGTCATGTCGGGCTATCACTGTGGGCCTGCCAGGAGGGTGCCAGTGCTTTTCAGTGGGGATGTGGGTTGATGCTGATTCCTCCAGCTTGCATGAGTATCATGCATGGAGAGGGATACATTGGGTTTGGGCTCAGTCAGCTCAGGAGGCCTGCAGCCTGGCATATGAAAAAGTCATGGAAACTATAAGGCAGTAATGAAGTGCCCAAGTAAAAGCAGTGCTTTAGGAATTCAGAGGTAGAAGCAGTCGGTGTAGACCATCCCAGAAGGCCTCATGAAGGTGGTGGAACATTTGGAAATTGAACACTCTCAGGTTTCCCAGAGCGGAGTCTTTTATTTAGAAAGGCAGGGTTGGGGAAAACTGGGAATACCAAAAACACGCTCGGGGCTGGCATATGGATGAGCAAATATAGCTAGGATTGCATATTTTTCAGGGGATGAGGGCGGTATGGAGAAATTGAAGGATAGTTGGGGATCAGCTAGTAAAATGTCAAGACTTGAAAGTTGAACATTTGGTTACGGCCGTGTTTCCCAGTGAGTGGGCTGTGAAAGGGTTGCAGGTGCCTCTCAGATAGGGATGACCTCAGCTCTCCAGACGGCCAGATGTGGCCTGCGGCGGCCAGGTCTCCGGCCACAGGCGCCTCACCACAATGTGCCATGTAGATGTTATGACTGTCACGTGTGCCAAGGTGTTAAAAAAAAAAAACAACTTAAGAAACATAGAAATAGACTTTAAAACTTGGCCCTTAAGGGGGTTGGGAGGTGTTGAGAATGTTTGAGCAGGCAGTGTGAGGAAGGGAAGTAGAAGAGGCTACGAGAGAGAGAAAGAGAGAGAGAGAGAGAATGGGAAGGTGGTCCTGGGAATAGTCCACCCAACCATACACATCCAGCCACCAGAAACCCAGGACTTCAGTCCATCACTGGATTCTTTGCAGAACAAACAGCTTGGTCTATCTGAGAGTCCTCCACCCTCTGTGTCATTTTGCCCTTTCTCTGAAAGAGTTAGATCTTTTTTTTTTTTAATTGTCGCCCAGAGTGGAGTGCAGTGGCTACTCCCGGCCACCGCAGCCTTGACCTGCTGGGCTCCGGCGATCCTTCCACCTCAGCCTTCCAAGCTGCTGGAACTACAGACGCGTGTTACCACATCCAGCTAATTTTTTGATTTATTGTAGAGATGAGGTCTCACCAAGTTGCCCAGGCGGGTCTCGAACCCACGGGCTCTGGCAATTCACTCACCTCAGCCTCCCAAGGCACGGGATTACAGGCTGAGCCACCGAGCCCAGCTAAGAGTTAGATCTTAAAAACTTTGCAGTGAAAGAAGTAACAGGAACTGCTGGTGACTACAGATGGAAGCGTGGAATGAGAGGAGAATAAGAATATTTAAGAATGTGGCTGGGTGCAGTGGTTCCGCCTGTAATCCCAGCACTGTGGGAGGCGGAGGCGAGAGGACTGCTTGAGTCCATGGCCTCGAGACTAGCCTGGGCAAGTTGGTGAGACCTCGTCTCTACAATAAATCAAGAAAAATAAGCCGGGCATGGTGATGCATGCCTGTTGTTCCAGCTACTTGGAAGGCTGAGGCAAAAGGATCGCATGAGCCCAGCAGGTCGAGGCTGTGGTGGCCATGAGTGTGCCACCACACTCTAGCCTGAGTGACAGAGGGAGACTCCAACTCAAAAATAAAAAATAAAAAATGCTGAGCCAGCATGGCTGAAAGAAAAGACAAAGTCTTGGGGTGGGAGGCTAAGTTGGTGTCATGTGTTTTGGGTGACGGCACTTGCAGATGATTGTGACCAGGCTGTTACTGTGGATTCGTGTTTTTCTCTTGGTCTGTGTGGGAAGCCAAGCCCATTCTCCAGATGATGTCCGCTTCTCTCGTCACCAGCTTTTTTGCATTACTGTGAAGTGACAGTAATATTGAGGGTTAATTCACCTTCCCAATTGCTAATGCTGGGGAGTAGTAATTAGGCTGAGGGATGTCAGACTCTAGCCCCCGTGTAAACATATAAGCATTTATTTTTCTGTTGGCTTGAATTATTTCTTAGATGAACTGTGTTTTTCCACAGGACCTTGACAGGCACAAAGATCAGCAGCATACCTGATAATCTGTGTCAAGAGCAAAAGATGCTTCGGACTCTGTAAGTTGGATTCGTCTTCCCTTGTCCTCATGCCTGCCTTTTATATATCCATACACGTTTGGTTCCACGTTTAAGGAACTATTTTCACAAGGGGGTCTTGGGGTATAATGACTTCTTATTTGTTCCCTTCATGGAAATGAGCAGGTATTTGAGTAGTCCACAGGGGTAGGGAATGTACATTTGAGTTAGATATTAGGGTTATGAATACAGCTTACATCTTGTGGCTTTATTTTTTAAAAAAGTAAAACCAAGCTAAGTTCTTCCTAAACCTTTTCTTTTCCTGACTCTTTTTCCTTATTCTAGTTTCCTCAGGGGTGTTATCTCCCCCTATTCTTCTCTCTTTTATCCATAACCTAAACAGGAACTAAATTTTTCCTGAATCAGGAATTAACCAAGGGTGTAACTTTCTAAAAACTGTAAGCTGACCTGGAAACTAAAAGTAAATAAAGGCTGTAAAAATGTCACCAGAATCAACAATTAAGTTACTAAGTTGTTAATAAGTATTCAGTGGAGGAGATAGTAACGGAATAAATGACTGATGGATCAAGCAAGTACAGTCATTCATCACTTAACTGTGGGGATGTGTCCTAAGAAACGCGTCGTTAGGTGATTTCGTCATCGTGTGAACATCAGAGTGTCCTTACACAAACCTAGAGGGTGTAGCCCACTACACACCCAGGCTGCATGATATAGTCTATTGCTCCTAGGCTACACACCTGTACAGTGTGGCACTGTACTGAATACCTGCAGGCAATTATAACCCAATGATAAGTATGTGTATATCTCAACATTGAAAATGTACAGTAGAAATACAGTATTATAATCCTAATTCTGCACATTGTCTACATATGTACACCTAGTCGTACACATTGTCTGTCATTGACCGAAACTTGGTTGTGCTGGTCATGACTATAGTTAAATGGTGTCATGGGATATCAGACTTAAACATGGTGATCACCATCAAGAAAAAAGTGCAGTGAGATTAAGTGTTAACTAGTTCTGATGTTTGATTTAATATAAACATTTTTTAAAAATGTGAGTAAGCATATCTTTAAAATTTTTTTAGAACTTTTTAACTAAAGAACAACACAGAAATTAGTTATGGCATAAACAATATTGGGAAAATATAATTTTTTAAAATCTGTAGCTTTGCCACTTAAAACAAATTTTATATAATTTCTATATCATTTTTCTATATTTAATTTAATATATTTATGTTGCATGCTTCAGTATAGTTTAATGTATTTTATATTGTCTTTACTCCGTATTATATACTGGAACTTTACAAATATTAAGCCTGTTGTACTAATGAAGTGTTCTAGAAGCTTACAAGTCTTGGGGGGGAATAAAGTTGCTTTTCTAGTCCAGCCATATCTCTTTATTACAGATCTTAGCACTGATTTCAATGCTTCTGAGTACCACTCTTTTAATAAAATATTCTGTCCATAACATAGCATTAATTTGATTAATTTCCATTGTTTAAGGGACTTGTCTTACAACAATATACAGGACCTTCCAAGTTTTAATGGTTGCAGTGCTCTGGAGGAAATGTAAGTTGGTTTTTGACCTACTCTTCTTGCTGTGGTGTATTGTTAGTTCATTGAGAGTTTCCTATTATGAATAAATGGTTTAAATATTAAGAAATCAGTGGGAAGTAGAAAGTATTTAGGAAAAGAAAAAAAAATAAATCAAATTCATATAATCAGGTATTCCTGTAAACAAAAGGTCACATCATATCAGATGTGTTCATGCAACCAGTTGTGTCAGACCCTTAACTACTCATTGGGGGAGGGAGGCATATATTAAAAACAAACAAAAGCTTGTCCTGGCTAATGAGGGAAAGCAGGCATGAATACCAGCATCCACCGTGTCCTGTGTAGGACAGCTCCGATGGAAGTTGGTTGGGAGATGAGGGGAGGGAGACATGAATCCTCCCATTTTTTATCTCCTTCCTCTAACTTGATGCCTGTGGTCCTTGTCACAGACCTGTTATCTAGGATCCTTTCCCGCTGCATCATCTTCCATCTCTCACATCTGAGTGGGGCTATCAGGCATTTAGATAGCACACCAGTTAACTTCCAGTTCAGTATGGGGTGGAATGCCAATTAGACTAACCCTTTCATTTTATTATTATACCAATTAGGCTAATCTTTTATTATTATTATTATTATTATTATTATTATTATTATTGATCCGGAGTCTCTACTCTGTCTCCCATGCTGGAGTGCAGTAGCACACTCACAGCCACTACAACCTCAACCTGCTGGGCTAAGGCAATCCCTCCGCCTCAGCTTTCCAAGTGGCGACAACCACAGGCATTCGCCACCATGCCTGGCCAATTTTTTAATTTGTTGTAGAGATGAGGTCACACCAAGTTGCCCAGGCTGGTCTCAAACTGCTGGGCTCAGGCAATCCTCTCACCTCAGCTTCTCAAAGTGCTGGGATTACAGGCATGAGCCACCATGCCCGGCCTAACCTTTTCATTTTATAGATGAGGAAAAGGGCTGTTCTCTCACTTTCAACAAGATCAATAAATGTTCCATACGATTGGGTCTTTAAACGTAAAAAGCTCAACTAAGAAATGTTATTTTTCTATATAGAAAATAATTTTTTTCTTTCTAATCTCTCTCTTTTTAAAAATTATTCCTTCTTTTTAGTTCTTTGCAACGTAATCAGATCTACCAAATAAAGGAAGGCACTTTTCAAGGCCTGACATCCCTAAGGATTCTGTAAGTTTGTCAATAATTATCACAGATAAATAAAAAATTTTAAAACTATATGTTAATTTGTCATTATGATTTCTATGTTAATATGTTCAATTAAAAATAGGATTTATGTTATCTAAATATTTTTGCTTAGATTTTACCACTCAGTACTACATAAATAATCTGCTTTCAGTATTTTTTACTTTACCTAACTGATGGTATTGTGTGTTGCTGAGTGAGAAAGTGTCATATGTATAACCTGAAAGATGTACCTTGTTTGTTTTTAAGTTATAATTGTGAGGTTTGCCACTTCATCGGAGAAAGGGTAGACAGACTACAGCCTGTGAGCCAAATGCAGCCTGCCTCCTGTTTTGATCGATTAAGTTTTACTGGAACAAGGCCAGGTCTTTTGTTTAAGTGTTGTCTGAAGCTGCTTTCACCACACTATCATAGCAGAGACTGTATGACCCACAAAAGCGAGAATATGTACTTTCTGGCCTCTGAAGAAGAAGTTCACTGACCCCTGCTCTGGTGTGCATGTCTATCATGACAAATACAGCGCCTGTGCCAAAAAAGTACTTATTTAAAAAAACCATTTGTCAGACCAGGCAACTTGGCGAGACTGCATCTCTACAATAAAAGAAAAAAAAAATTAGCCGGGCGTGGTGGTGCATGCCCGTAGTTCCAGCTACTTAGAAGGCTCAGGCAGAAGGATGGCCTGAGTGTGCCACTGCACTCCAGCCTGGGCGACAGAGGGAGATGCCAAACTCCCCCCCAAAAAAATCATTTGTATTTGCACCAGGCATTCTAATATTCACTTGGGAATATACAGGTGACTAAGGCAAAGCTTGTCATTCACTGTCTTCCTAGAATTTTAGTGCAGAAAACAGTACACCAAATTAGTTGAACATTTTTATAAGACAGAAAAGTTTGAAATATGGACAGTGAAGTGAAATTACATATATTGAATACAGTTCTCCAGTATCCCCCCTCCTTTTATTTTTTAATTTCAGAGACAGGGTCAATCTGTCATATAGGCTGGGGTGCGGCAGTGGGATCATAGCTCATTGCAGTCCCAAACTTCTAGGCTCAAACGATCCTCCTGCCTCAGCCTCAAGTAGCTGAGACTATATGCACGTGTCACCATGTCCAGCTAATTTTTAAAAAACTTTTATTCTTTGTAGAGACAAGGTTTCTATGTTCCCCAGGCTAGTGTTGAACTGGCCTCGTGATCCTCCTGCCTCAGCCTCCCAAAGTGCTAGGATTACAGGTGTGAGCCACCGCACCTGGTTTATATTCATACTCCCTTTAAGAAGTGCAACAAGCATTCTACTAGAAGATATTTAATCGGTAGTTGGGTTGCTGGATGTTTCCATTTTGGAGCCTAACTGTATGGGCCTGGGCAGTTGTCGGGAAGAAGGCTGGCTCCTAGCTGCCATCTCTTCCACTAAGAGACAAGGAAAACCCGGTCTTTTCATGATTTAGACCCAAGGGTTGAGTTCTCCTTGTTATCCAGGAGCTGTATCATAGAATGAATTTATCCAGTCCTTGAATTTCCCTTAAGGTCCAATTGAAGTGTGGTTGCAGATTCTCTGTTTTCTTAATTCTGTAATTTCAGAATTTCTCAGGGCGTGGTCCTGAATACAGAGCTGGCTCTGCTGTTAATGTGATTTTTAGTTCCTGCTTGGGAAAAGAATGGTATCTGCAGCCTACTGGAATGCTCTTGCTCGCATATTGATTGTCTGTCTTCCCTGGGGACCTTATCACTAACCTTTGAGAAGGCAAATAACATGAAGCCGGGTTTTCATTTTCAGCTTTGTCAGAAGCTAGGCTTCTCCTCACCTAGCGAATAGTACCAAGGGTTATATCCATCATTCTGATGAATGATCAAGTGGAGAGAATTCACAACTGTTCTGAAGGAGATGACAGCTTGAACCACTGCAACGGGGAGCACAGTCCAACAGCTACATGGCTGTGAAGGAGAGGCATGCAGCCGAAACGGGAAAAATGTTGCCGGACAAGATGGAAGAGCTTTGTTATCTTACTGGGGATATTGTGTGACTGCCTCAGGTTGTGAAGTACAGTTTACATAACTGACTGGCATTTTGAGTGTTTATTTGAAAAGATTAACATGCTTCTCTTATAATTGCAGAGATCTGAGTAGAAACTTGATCCATGAAATTCACAGCAGAGCATTTGCCAGGCTTGGGCCAATAACGAACCTGTAAGTAGACGATTATATGCAGCGAAAGATCATGAAAGTACTAGTAACTAGTGCTACAGGGACATGCGTTTTAACACCGTCAACTCAAAATACTTTTCTGTGTAGTTGTTCCCTTGTATGAATGCTAAGCTGCATTGATGATAAAAATCTTCTCAAATGACAAGATGCGGGCTAGATCTGTCATGTGAGCACACCTCAGCTTCATCTTAGGGATCTGATATTCATGATGTTAATCCACGTGTAGATTTTTTTATGTGATTTGTGTCTTGGGCATTAACTTGAAGTCTCATTCACATTTAGAGATGTGAGTTTCAATGAATTAACGTCGTTTCCTACGGAAGGCCTGAATGGGCTCAATCAGCTGAAACTTGTGGGCAACTTCAAACTGAAAGAAGCTTTGGCAGCAAAAGACTTTGTTAATCTCAGGTGTGCTTTTTGCTTATTTTTATTTTTGTTTGAAGTCATGGTAGGCTCCAAAATTATAGTGTCCTGTTTTTTTGCTGTAGTTCCCAGATTTTCTGATAGGCTATAATTTAAGAGTATTTTATACCCTGATCCTTGCAAATTTGGTAAAAAAAAAAAAAAACAACATGAGTATGATTCTGTAGTTTTTGAGAACATCAACCAGGGCCCTTGATGCTCTCAAAAAGATAATATAGTTGTTCATTAGAAAGGGGTTTTGTTTTTTGAGCCAGGGTCTCACTCTGTCACCCATGCTGGAGTGCAATGGCACAATCACAGCTCACTACAAGTGTTGATCTTGTGGGTTCAGGCAATCCTTCCACCCCAGCCTCCCAAGTAGCTGGGACTACAGGTGCACACCACCACACCTGGCTAATTTTTTAAAAGATGTTTGTAGAGGTCTCACTATATTGCATAAGCAGGTCTTGAACTCCTGGGCTCCGGCAGTCCTTCTGCCTTGGCCTCCCAGAGTGCTGGGATTACTGACATGAGCCACTTTGTATGACGAACTTTTCATTAGCAGCAAGACGGCAGAAACCATGTTAAGTGTGAACCTACAGAAAACTGGTACTGTGCTGGAAAGAGGGCTTGAGAATATTATTGTGAGAGAAGAGAACAAGCATTTTCACTGCATTCATCAGGACAAAATCAATTCATTTAATGGCGTAAAGTCACAAAATGACCTGGGACATCAATTTTGTGTCATATGATAAATTGGGCATAGTTAATACACGTGTGAAAGGAGTTGTGAAATTTTACTTTAAATTGTATTATGATTGCATTTTAAATGTGGCTCCATTTGCCTCCAACTGTTAGGAGATATCCTGCAGAGAGATTGAAGTTCTTGGTGTCATTTGACACCAGAACTCTTTTCACAGATGAGGCCACTGGAGCCCAGGGAGGGTGGAGGGCCAGCCTAAAGCATGTGACAGTCGGGCCTGTCTGACTCCCAATCTGGAATTTTCAAAGACGGGAATACTTGTGAACACGACAATTCTACCTGTGTATCTGCTCTTCAATGCAGATTCTACCACTTTCTTCCAGGTCTTTATCAGTCCCGTACGCTTATCAGTGCTGTGCATTTTGGGGCTGTGACTCCTACGCAAATTTAAACACAGAAAATAACAACCTCCAAGACCACAGCGTGCCAAAGGAGAAAGGCAAGTGCATGGATTTCTTTTAAATGGACACTCTGTCAGGCACGGATGAAAGATCCTCTTATTGCAGTCAGTTTGTGCAGGCACAACATGGAAGTCTCTCGGAAAAAATGGCATTCACTGAGTTACCACCATCTTTATCAAGTTGTGAAGCCTCCTATAAATGGAACATATTGACATCATATGCAGTGGAGGAAATTGCAGGAAAATGGGGTCCTCGTGAGTTGGGTACATTTTTAATTAGACATACTTTGTCATCTATACAGGTGTCGCTGCTGCAGCAAACGCCACCGTCACTGCTGAAAGTGAAGAACACAGTCAGGTCATTATCCACTGCACACCCTCCACAGGTATGCCCAGCCTCTCCTGCTGCGGTTTCTTGCTTTCAACAAGCATTAGGCAAACGTAAAACTTCTGGGGAGAGGCATTCGAGGAAGGCCTCTGACTTGAAGGGTGAGCCATGTACCAACACCTTGGACGTCTCCTGCACAGTCTCAGGCCCAGAACTGCACCTAGAATCCTGGGACTCGGGCAATAAATTTCTGGTCTAGAAGGATTATTATTATTTTTAAAAACATAACGTGGTCCATTCTCATATAGGAAGTTTTAGTGTTAGTGGGTTTTTTGTTTTTAATCGTAACCTTTCCTTTCTAATCGTAACCTTTCCTTTCTAATCTACTTCATTGACTTTAGTAGTCTTGAAAGTTATTAAACTGACAACATGTATTTGGTTGTGATTGTCATATTCTGCCTAATTTACCAGAGAAGATGGATTTACCATTTTACTGTTTAAAAAAAAGGGATTATTATTATTTTTTGAGTGTCTTACTCTGTCACCCCAGCTGGAGTGCAGTGGTGTGATCACAGCTTATCGTAGGTAGCCTCAAACTCCTGCATTCAATTGTCCTCCCACTCCCGAGTAACTGGGATTTTGGGTGTGCGCACCATCACACCCAGCTAATTTTTTGATATTTTGTATCGACGAGATCTTGCTATGTTGCTTAGTCTGGTCTGGAGCTCCTGGGCTTACACAGTCCTGCCGTATCAGACTCCCAAAGTGCTGAGATTGCAGATGTGAGCCACGGCAGCTGGCACAGATGATATATTTGGGTTAAATTGTGTGCTACAAAGTAAATTCCTTTGTTAATGTGATACCACACAGTGATCTGGCCGTTGATTTTATGAATTGGAATCTCCAAGTGTTATGGATTTACTAATGATCCACTGATGATTACTTCTTCTTAAGGGGCTGTGTTTATATTCTTTGAATACTTAGCACAGTTCCTGTATAGAAAAGAAGCTTTAAGTTACCCAGTACGTGAATAAGGTTTGCAAGAATCATTTCAGTTTATGTCATTTATTTTGTTGTGTGTCAGTCCTGATGTTAAGTTTTGGAGGTTGGGGTGCCCCTCACCACCCACTTGTCCCACTGGGATCTGCGTGTTGATGAACATACGTGAAGAACCGATGGGCCCGGTGTGGTGGCTCACACCTGTAATCCCAACACTTTGGGAGGCTGAGGCGGGAGGATCAACTAAGCCCATGAAACACAGTGAGCCTAGGAAACATAGCGAGACCTTGATTCTACAAAAACTTAGCTGGGCGTGAAGGCACATGACTGTAGTCCCAGCTACTTGGGAGGCTGAGGAGGAAGGATCCCCTGAGCCCAGGAAGTTGAAGCTGTGGTGAGCTGTGATTGTCCCACTGTACTCGAGCCTGGGTGACAGTGAGATTCTGACTCTGACCCAATGAAAAGGGAACAGCACCTTTACTGGAGAGGAGTCTGGACTTGGATATGCCATGATTCCATTTAGCCCACACTGAAACTGAACCTTGGGTGTGGCCAGGACGGCTAGTCTGAGCTCACCTCCTCGGGCAGGCCCATCTCTCCTTGGGAGGGGCTCTGAAGCCTGCCTCCCTCTGCTCAGGTGCAGGAACACAAAGACACCCATGTGCTTCCTGCAGATGCAGGAAGGGAAGGAGAGCCGGGACCTTCTGTTAGAGCTTAGGAGGTGGGATGGGAACCCCACCTCACCCACTTCTGAAACCGTTCTTAAAAGACATCCTAAATTCTCAGGTAGATAAGCTATTCCTTCTCTATGAGGAAAGGTGAGTTGAGATAACAGAGAACGGCTCTTTGAGGTGGAGAGTAAAAAGAAATTTAAAAGAAGAAAGCAGGCACGGTGGCTCATGCCTGTCCTCCCAGCACTTTGGGGGGCAGAGGCCAGAGGATTGCCTGAGCCCACAGGTTTGAGCCCAGCCTGGGCAACATGGTGAGACCACACCTCTACTATAAATCAAAAAACTAGCTGGGTGTGGTGGCACACGCTTGTAGTTCCAGCTACTTGGAAGGCTGAGGCGGAAGGATCACCTGAGCCCAGCAGGTCAAGGTTGTGGTGGTTGTGAGCATGCCAGTACACTCCAGCCTGGGCGACAGAGTGAGACTTCAACTAAAAAAATAAAATAAAAATAAGAAAAAGGTTTCTTGTGTTATTTGGAAGTCAGATAAAGGATGCAGAATTGGCTTCTTAGGTCTATGGATATCATGACAATTTAAAATGTTTTATTGGACATACCAGTTTCATGACAGTTCACCAAACATGTCTGCCAGGCAGTTGCAATATGTAGTTTTCTTGTGCCTCATGGTCAAAATTTTGTCTTTCCTGATTTTTTCAATAAAACATTTGTCATCGGTGACATAACCAGCATATCAGAGTCAGTTGCTGGAATGCGCACAGTTCAGCCAATAACTGAGTTCTTGCAGTCCCAGTTTGTGTCATGTAGGGTCTGACTGTCCACAGCTTTGCATGAATAGTTCACATCTCTGTGGGTTGGTCCTTGCTGCACTGTCTTACTGGATGACCTTTGCTAGGTCAGTCAAACACCGAAATGCCAATTTCTCTGGATGAAAAATGGGGTAATTACATGTCTTTTAACCTGACTCATCAGGCTGCTTGAAAGCCATAAGAAAATATATAAAAATATGTGTACATACATACACGTATAAGGTATGTTGGGAATAGGAAGGAAGAAATTAAAGTCATTTGTTTATTTATTTGAGGTGGGGGTCTCACTAAGTTGCCCAGGCTGGTCTCAAAACTCCTGGCCTCAAGCCATCCTCACACCTCAGCCTCCCAAAGTGCTGGGATCAAAGGCATGAATTACCATGCCCAGTTTGTTTATTTTTGAGCCACGGTCTCACTGTGTTGTCCAGGCTGGCGTGCAGTGACATAATCATGGCTCACCGCAGCCTCAACCTCCTGGTCTCTGGTGATCCTCCTGCCTCAGCCTCCCAAGTAGCCGTCTGTGTGCCACCGTGCCTCGCTGATTTATTATTATTATTTTTTTTTTGTAGAGATCAGCTCTCACTATGTTGCCTAGGCTGGTCTCAAACTCCTGGGCTCAAGCAATCCTCCTGTCTGAGCCTCCCCGAATGTTGGGATTACAGGCATGAGCAAACATGTCGGCCTAGTCAAGTTTATTTTTAAAACAGCCTAGTCCATGACTAAAGTGTCTTAAAAGCAGTAATTTTTCAATTTGGTTTGATTCAGGTGGTAGCGGATTTAATGATTCTATAAGCCATGAGGCTTACCAAGTCACAGCATATGAAATACGGCATTTTCTAAATTGTTCCTCCCTCTACCTCCCTCCCTCGCTCTCCCCGCCACTCTCGTTTCAGGTGCTTTTAAGCCCTGTGAATATTTACTGGGAAGCTGGATGATCCGTCTCACCGTGTGGTTCATTTTCTTGGTCGCGTTGTTTTTCAACCTGCTTGTCATCTTAGTGACATTCACATCCTGGCCATCGCTGCCTTCCTCCAAGCTGTTCATAGGCTTGATCTCTGTGTCTAACTTACTCATGGGCGTCTACACGGGCATCTTAACTTTCCTCGATGCCGTGTCCTGGGGCCGATTCGCCGAATTTGGCATCTGGTGGGAGACCGGCAGCGGCTGCAAGGTTGCCGGGTTTCTGGCGGTCTTCTCGTCAGAAAGTGCCATCTTCCTGTTGGTGCTGGCAGCTGTCGAAAGAAGCCTGTCCGCCAGAGACGTGGCGAAAACAGGGAAGAGCGATCGCCTCCGACAGTTCCGGGTGGCCGCCCTCTTTGCTTTCCTGGGTGCTGTGGTGGCAGGCTGCTCTCCCCTCTTCCATGGAGGGGAGTATTCTGCCTCGCCCCTGTGCCTGCCCTTCCCGACGGGAGAAGCACCGGCACTGGGCTTCACCGTGACCTTGGTGCTGCTGAACTCGCTGGCCTTCTTGGCGATGGCTGTCGTCTACACCAAGCTGTACTGCCACTTGGAGAAGGAGGACCTCTCGGAGCACTCACAGTCCAGCATGATCAAGCACGTGGCGTGGCTCATCTTCACCAACTGCATCTTCTTCTGCCCCGTCGCCTTCTTCTCCTTCGCCCCCCTGATCACCGCCATCTCCATCAGCCCCGAGATCATGAAGTCGGTCACTCTGATCTTCTTCCCGCTGCCGGCCTGCCTCAACCCAGTCCTGTACGTGTTCTTTAACCCAAGGTTCAAAGAAGACTGGAAGTCACTCAGGCGCCGGGTGGCCAGGAAGAGCGGATCCGCGTCGGTCTCCATCAGCAGCCAGCGGGGCTGTGTGGAGCCAGACTTCTACTACGACTGCGGTGTGTACTCCCACCTGCAGGGCCACCTGACCGTATGCGACTGCTGTGAGTCATTCCTCCTGACAAAGCCGGTGTCGTGCAGACACCTGATGAAGTCACACAGCTGCCCTGCGCTGGCAGTGACCACGTGCCAAAGACCCGAGGGCCACTGGTCTGACTGTGGCACCCAGTCAGCGCACTCGGACTATGCAGATGAGGAAGACTCCTTTGTCTCGGACAGTTCGGACCAGGTGCAGGCCTGTGGGCGAGCCTGCTTCTACCAGAGCCGAGGGTTCCCGCTGGTGCGCTATGCCTACAACCTGCCGAGGGTTAAAGACTGAAGGGCTGGTATGCAGCCGTCTTCCCCGTCGGCCCAGACCCCAGTGCTTATAGAATGAACCCTGTGGTCTGTCTGTTCTTTCATCCGGGAAGCACTTCTGTCATCCCTGTCTGGTGTCCCTCAGAAGTGGGGGAAGAGGTGGCAGTTTAGTTCTCAAACCAGACATTTTCAAAGAACAGGTGCCTAGATTATACATGGGTGGAAAATGCGATGTCCAAGCAATGTATGGTGTGTTTGAAACAAATCGGTAACTTGAAAAGGATTTTCGCTCTAGGATGGCAAGCAATACGATGTTAGGATTTTCTGGTCCACGAGAAGCAAATTTATACCTATTCCTGAATCAAGCACAAGATAAAAGAACAGCTGTTAATATTTTTGAAATGAATACTTTAAAAATGTGATTTTCTATAACTGAAGAAAATGTCTTGCTAATTTTACCTAGTGTTTCACGTCGATCCAGGATTAAACGTTACTGCAGGGCCAAAAAGGGGATGATCTCCCAGCTAGAACTGTGAGGCTATATGTAGGCATTACTTCACTGCATTTTTCTGTTGCCATCTTTGATATAAGAGAATCGTACGTGTTATGTGATTTATAAACCTAAAGCCTGAAAACGGGGTTAAAACAATATTAACAGCTGTTAGATTTTAAAAGATAGTTGAACATTTGTTTTCAGTCATCATACATTGCTTTGGTGTGGCCACAGTAATTTTTTCCTCGGTGTTTTGTGATCTGATAAATACTAAATCATAACTTGGTAAAAAAAAAAACAACAAAAAATACCCTTGTAATTACTAGGAAAAAGTAAAGGGCTGATTGCTGTGTGGGTTTTGATTAGACGAAAACACTTCAAAGTGGGGGTTTTAATAGTATCTGAGGGATCTGATGGCTCTGTGTAATGTTCCTGTTAATAAACACTTCCTGGTATCATTAGCTCTACTGATATTTTCCAGTTTTATTGCTATATTATCTATTTATAGTTTGCCTTATATAGAAAGAAAATTTGGGTAACTAATTGCTTTTAATTGGAAGAAACGGGGAGTAATTATGGCACAAAGGACATTATTATTATTATTATTATTATTATTATTGAGTTAGAGCCTTACTCCGTCACCCAGGCTGAAGTGCAGTGGCATGCTCACAGCCACCGCAGCCTCGACTTTCTGGGCTCAGGCAATCCTTCCACCTCAGCCTTCCAAGTAGCTGGAACTACAGGTGTGTGCTACCACACCCAGCTATTTTTTTTTTTTTTTTTTTTTGATTTATTGTAGAGAAGAGGTCTCACCAAGTTGCCCAGGCTGGTCTTGAACCCCTGGGCTCTGGCAATCCTCTTACCTCTGCCTCCCAGTGTTGGGACGACAGGCGTGAACCACCGCACCTGGCCCAAAGGACTTATTTCTTAGTGAGCTGGATTCTCCTGAACCTGTGCTATTACATGAAAACTTCCATACATTTTCTCCATGCGATTATTTTCAAAAGAACCTATTCAGTAGCCCAGATGTTGAGTTCTGGATAGACGATAAATATGTTATTAAGAAAAAAAGAAGGAATAAAGCGTAGTCCTATGTCTTTAAAAATTAAAAATTTTACATGATTCTCATCTATGGACTTTTGACATATTACTGTGTGCAGTCTTAAAGTTATAGTTGTTCAATATTTTTTGAACAATGTGCTAAATCGGTAGCAAGCCCACTGCCATATTAGTTATTCTGGATATACTAAAAAACATTAAGCTAGATTGCAGTTTAATAATTAAACTGTACATACTGTGCATATGATGAATTTTTATCTTATGTAAATTATTTTTAGAACACACGTTGGGAAATGTGGCTTCTGTTCATTTCGTTTAATTAAAGCTACCTCCTAAACCATAGTGGCTGCCAGTAGCAACATGTTAAATTGTGTGGTTTATATACTTTTTTGCATTGTAAATAGTCTTGGTTGTACATTGTCAGTGTAATAAAAACAGAATCTTTGTATATCAAAATCATGTAGTTTGTATAAAAGTGGGAAGGATTTATTTACAGTGTGTTGTAATTTTGTAAGGTCAATTATTTACAAGTTTTAAAAATTGCTATCATGTTTGTATATTTACACATCTGATAAATATTAAATCATAACCTGGTAAGAAACACCTAATTAAACTTTTTTTTTCCAAAATTCAAGTTATTGAAAATTTTTCATTTTATTCATTAAACAATAGAATAACAGATATATAAAATGTGTTAAACTGTATTATATATGGTATGAAATACAATATTGTACTCAACGTTTTGAATTATTAAAGTTTCTAGAAAGCAGTCTATTTTGCCTTAATTTATAGGTATATTGATGAATTTACTTAGTTTAAAATAAGCACATTAAATTTTTTTAAGTGGAGAGTATTAGAAGAAATGTTAGAAGTAACCATTAGAAAACTTTGGATATTTATCTATAAATATTAAGAACACTGCTGAAGTTTAGAAGTAAGGTTTCATTCTATCTTAAGTCTAAACCATAGAAAAGAAATAACAAAATTTAAGAGACTACTATTAATTCTAAATTTAAAAGCATATGATTTTTTTTTTTTTTTTGAGTTGGAGTCTCACTCTGTTGCCCAAGCTGGAGTGCAGTGGCACGCTCCCAGCCACCGCAGCCTCGACCGGCTTGGCTTGGAGGATCCTTCCACCTCAACCTTCCAAATAGCTGGAACTACATAGGTGCATGCTACCACACCCAGTTAATTTTTTGATTTATTGTAGAGACGAGATCTCACCATGTTGCCCAGACTGGTCTCGATTCCATGGTCTCAGGCAATCCTCTCACCTCGGCCTCCCAAAGTGCTGGGATTTTAGGCTTGCGCCACTGCGCCCAGCATAAAAGCATATGATTGAAAGACTGCATGGTATTCAGTCAGTGGCCCAGATGCTTACAAATACGTCAGAATTAACAATCGTCAGGTCCTCATTTTACAGATGAGAAAACGAAGCAAAGGGCTTAATGAAGTTTAAGTGAATCCCTGAGACACAGCTAATTAGGCTCCAAACCAGAACCCAATTCTTCTTAATTCTGGACACAGGTTTGTGTGTGTGTGCATTGTGCACTTCATATATGTTTGAAATTTCTCTAACAAAAAGCAAAAGCTGGGCACAGTGGCTCAGCCTGTCATCCCAACACTTTGTAAGGCAGAGGCAGCAGGAGGATTGCCTGAGCCCAGGGTTTGAGACCAGCCTGGACAACTTGGTGAGACTTCGTCTCTACAGCAAATTAAAAAGTAGCCAGGCATGATGGCATGCCCCTGTAGTTCCAGCTACTTGTAAGGCTGAGGCAGAAGGATCACCTGAGCTCAGCAGGATGAGGCTGCAGTAGCCCTGAAATGTGTCACTGCAGTCCAGCCTGGAAAACTCCAGCTCAAAAATAAAAAGTAGCAAGAATAGTATCATTACCCCAACACTCCACCCTTCAACCCATGGTGTCACTACTTTGACAATTATCCACAGCACATGCTTCTTGTTTCATCTCACCCCTCCAATCTCTCTGGCCCTTGGATTATTTTGAGGCAAATCTAAGACATCATACCGTTTCATCTGCAAATACTTACCCATGTCTAGGGATAAATGTTTAAAGTTGCATAATCTGTTGCCACAGGGCTAACTGGTAATGGAATTATTTTTGTAACATAAGGATTTTTAAGCCAAAGTCACTTCACTTACACAAGGTAATGGAGCCAGCAAAAAATAATCTCAAATATACCATGAAAGTGAAAATAAATTAGAAACAACGTTAATCAGTACCCTAAAACTTGATACACCCTCTTTTGAATTTATTTTACATTTACGTATAATTCTGGCCATCTTGATTCTTGACTTAGCCCCCGCAATGAAAAGGCTCTGTAAAAAACGACACCACAACTGAATTACGTTCAGACACTAGAACTCCATGACTTTGTCCCGCCTTTGGGCATTCAGTACTCTAGAGTGTCAAGCAATAGTTGGTCAAAATGATCCTGAAGTATCAAGGAAAGATTATGCCCTGTTGAGTAAAACATCTTAAGGAGGCAGAGAAGTATAAGATGTTTCAGATTCCCATACCAAGAGATTCCAGCGGAAACGTCTTGGAGTTTGCACACAACTTACAATTGTATCAGGTCCTGAGCTAGAAACTTTTAGGATCCATGAGATAATATGAACCTGTGAGGCAGATGACGTCCCTATTTTACAGAGGAGCGAGTTAAGATTGGAAAGGCCAGACAACTTGTTTAAAGAAATCTTTTGAGCAAGACAAAAATCAGTGGTTCAAGTCCGGGTCCCTTTCATACTAAAACTTGTGTTTTTTCCACTACGTTTCAGTGATGTCAGGTTGTATGGGTCGGAAAATAGCTTCTCAAGCCTACTTCTTTATAAAGCCCTAAAGCTGCCCGGGGCTTTTTGATGAGGATGTTTCTGATTCTAGAGAGGTTCTGATAAAAGGTTTTAACTGGATATGTCAATATGGAATAACTGGAGTAGAGACTAAAACTCCATTAAGCCAGTTGTATTCCTTAATTTTATTATTCAGTTGTAGTTCTCCAATTTTCTTCCATTTTCATTTTGCTTTTAATGAAATTTTAAACAAAACATTCCATTGAAGTCATTTTAACCATGCCTTATTTCATTATTCATAACTCCTGCCACCTGGATTGGCTTTGGTTGCTTTTATTTCTACTGCATGTAATTTTCGTGTCCAATTTTGCAGATCTAGGTTATGTTCAAGATTTTGCATCACTCTGGTGACAAACTTTGCTGTTTTAGCCATTGCAGTTTTCACTTTGTGATATTTCTGCTGGTAATATACATTATGACCTGGGCAAAAGCAATATTTACTTACAAGTGTACACAGTTTTGTCAGCAAGAGTAGGGCATCCAGATTTATTGTCTGTCACCTGTCCCTTGCTGCCTGTATCTCCATCCTCGACCCCTAAGAGGAAAGTGCCCCTGAAGTCCCACACACTTGTTTCTTTCCTCATAAAATGCATAGTACAGCATATTTTAATAGGATCATTCTTGATCACAAAACCGCTGAGGAACTTAGATAAGGGCAGGACTTATAATTGCCTTGTGCCCGGTGTCTTGTCCCCGGTGCCTTGTGCAGGCCCTAGCACACACTAGAGAGAGCCACAAGCTCACATGCATCGATAAATTAGTTTCTTTACAATGCCTGGCAAACGAAGTGCTATCAAAACACTGAAAGGTGGTCCCAGAAGTGCATTTTCTGGAAACCTGGACAAGGGGTTCGCCCCCCCCCCCCTCGCCATCTCCTCAAAAACTACCACCTTGTGCTTTAAGAAGTCACGACTGGCCGAGCGCGGTGGCTCACACCTGGAATGCCCAGCACTTTGGGAAGTGGAGGCAAGAGGAATGCCTGAGTCCAGGGGTTCGAGACCAGCCTGGGCAAGTGCGCGAGACCTCGTCTCTACAATAACTTTTAAAAATTAGCAGGGTGTGGTGGCGCGTGCCTGTAGTTCCAGCTCCTAGGAAGGCTGGGGAGGAGGGATCGCCTGAGCCTAGCAGGTCCAGGCTGCGGTGGCCTTGAGCATGCCCCTGCACTCCAGCCTGGGCGACAAGGGTGAGACTCCAATCCCTCCCCCGCCCCCAAAAAACCCACAACTGGTGCTTTTAAATGCTGACCTTGGGATAACACGGGGGGTCGTTCTGGCTTCTGCCCCTTTCCCTTTAAAGGTACCCGCCTTATTCAGTGGCAGCTGCTACAGTTCATGAACACACGATCTGCAGCACCACAGCACACGAAGGATAGGTCTCCGCCCCCGGGGTCGGGAAGGCCCGGAGTTAAAGCACGCCCAGGAGCCTGCAGGCAGCTTGCCGCGGAGAGGAGAAGAGCCCACAGAGCCAGCGCGGGCGGGAAGGCCGCACCGCGCAGGCGCGAATAAAGCCCTCCCCGACGCCAGGCGTCGCCACGGCAACGCGGGCCCGACGCCGGCTCGGATTGGCTGGGCCCGGCGCGCGCGGGGCCTGCTGGGAGAGCGCGGCCCGCCGGCCGCGGTCCCGCCGGTTTGAACGTGGCGGGCCGGATGCGGGCCGCGGGGCGGCGGCGGGAGGCCGCCCCTCCGCTTCCCTACGCCGGCTTCCCCGCCGGCTGCAGACCCGGGTCTCGGCCCTCCCCCGGCGCCTTCTCCGTCCTCCTGACGGGCGGCCTGGGGCCGGGGCCGGAGGGGGAGAGCCCGCCGCCGAGCTGCAGCGATTCCACCCTGTCGCTGCTGTCTCCCCTGGGCCGGCAGAGCCCCCGGTTCGACGAGGCCGACGGCGACGGGGAGGACGAGGAAGACGTGGACGGAGACGCACCTGACTCGGCGGCGGCCCCGGCGGCGAGCCCGGGGGCAGCGGAGTGGCCGGGGCGCGCCCGGGAAA